GACTCAGTCCTTAATTTTGAGACTAAAAAGTTAAGACGTAGACTTCATTCGCGATTAACAGAAAAGCAAATACTCGCTCAGAAGTCAAAAGTACGGGTTTCTACTGACATTTTCTACTAGATATAACTCCCTTATTAACTATATTTGTTGCTATTGTTTTGACCATGTTTGTCTCTCTTACGTGCAGGAGTGTAAAGATGGCAGGCGCCAGCTTATTGCTACTGTATGCATTGATCTAGCGGATTATATCAGCGAGACAAACAAAACATTTGACATGACTGTCACATTGAAACCAGCAATGAAGAATGTTCTGTCAGGAACAATCGAGTTCAACTTAACCATAATACCATGGTGAGTATTGTGTAATACTTGTTGTGAGTAGTAACTTTCAAAATGTCCTCTCCCAATATCTTCTTCCTTTTGAAGGAGCATAAACTATTAAAGAGACAATGAACCAAAGGTGAGGGTCGCTATGAATATTTTTGAGTGATGGAACTACCAACAGGAAGATGCCGCTACAAAGTTTTGAAAATCTAGCTTGTGGGCGAAATCTCGTATTGCAGCAGTATCACCTTTATTCTCCTGCCGGGTCAGCAGTTGCACCAGAATTTCAACTGTTACTAAAATTCCATTGCCCAAAAGCTGTTTCAATGGGTAACCGCGATTTAAGTAATCCAGATTCGGCGGTAAATGAATGCACGAGACTGAAAAATATTTTGTAAGCAATAACTTGAACTTAACTGATGGCTTCACTTTATTGTTGCTTACTTGACATTAATATTTAACCGCAGCCAGGAAGGGTATATGTGTATATGCACAAGTTTGGACTCATCCTTAAAAATCTGCTGGATCGGCATCTGAAGTGCCAACTAGTTTTACCAGTGTTGTAACTTTTTAGATTTTTTTACAGTTTTTTTTTAATTTTCTTTTTTTTACCCCTCACATGCCTGAAACCTTTTTGGTCTATTTTGCCTAATCTTTTTGCGTTTGTTTGTATTTGATCAATAACCCCTCTGGACTAGTACATGTTCCCCGCTCGCTCTATTTCGTTTCTAATTCATGTGCTGCTTGTGTTTATCGCAGTCCAAACGATGAGGAAAGTCAGGAAATATTCCGGGAAATCATGGCAGACGCTGTTAAAACTGCCAAGCAGGGGATTGCCAAAAATGTTTCTTCCACGGGGCACCTGGGTCCACTTTTAGATCTGTTTTCCTTTGTCGATAAACCATCAGAGATTCCTTATACACCACGGAAACGAAAAAGCAAGAAAAGAAGAACCAAAGAAAGAGCAAAAAACAGGCCTGACAGTGGTAACAATGGTCATGAAAGGAAAGCAAAAGTGGAAAAGAAAAGTTCTCAACCACCGCAGCCAGCCACTTATCCATAGTGAGCAGTTGTGTATTTCATTTAACAGGGGCACCCAACGAGAATATAGTTCAAAACCACTTAAACATAGCATTGTTAAACGTGTTTTAGTATTTAAACGGTGGATATGGGCATATTTTTATCCCCTTTAAATTTTCCATCTGTTCGGATTTCCTAGCTGAAAGTCTAGTGATCCGAAAATTATAGGGATCAAAACTTACCTGTTGGAAAATTTCAGCCAGAAAAAAGGCTCCCGAAAATTCTAGGTGACCTTTTTAGGGTAAAAATCCGTTGAAGATGGGCAATTTTACCTTTTTTTAGATGTTCGAAAATCCTAGGAGAGGCTAGCCTGCGTAGCAATCGAGATATTGCGCGAAAGTTAGAGCGGAAGCAAAAAAAAGGTTATTCATTTTTTTTTTTGCTCTTGTCCCACTTTCTAGACGAACTTCGCGAGGAAACGCTTGCTACGCAGGCTAAGGAGAGGCAAGCAAGCAAGAAATTTTACAACAACTGGTCCGAAAATTCTAGATCTCAAATCGTTTTCCGAACAGATATTTTCCCGAAAATTGTCGTTGGGTGCCCCTGATTTAATTCATAAACACCTTTCAAACACGTAGTACGTATTTTTGTTTTGAGCCTTTCATAAAGTGTATCTGGCTCCAAAGGACGGAAGTCATTAGCTTCAACCACGATGTGCAAACAAGTTTGAACTCCTCTATGAAAAGCTCCTGGATCTGCTTCTGAGTTCTCTCGATCATTTTCAATACATACAAAGAGACCAAAACATTATATTCTTGACCCAGCAGTATTGTGATTTTGTCACTAACTAGACTTCTTTTAGTATCTTTTACTTTTAGGTTATCCCCAAACTGTATTGATTTCTTTTTTAGTATTCTTTCGATTTATGCCATTTTTGTATGTGTTCATGTTTGTCAAATCAGATATAAATAACCCGATGGACTATTTATTTCCCTGCTCGCTCAGTTATTTTTATCCTATTCATGGGGTTGCTTGTTTTCATCATAGTCGAAGCGATGAAGATACAATCCGTGAGATCATGGCAGACGCTTCGAGACGCTATCAGATCAGCCAAGCAGAGAATCGCCAAAGCTGCATCTTATATGGAGCACATTGATCCGTTTCTGTTTTGCGTTATCAACAAACAATCAGAAGATCCTACCACTAGCAAAGAACGGGCAGATAACACGCTTGACAATGCTAACAACGATTATGAAAGAAACGCAAAGATGGAAAACAAAAGTCCTCTACCAGCGCTCCTCGCCACTGCTCCAGCACTAAATGATTTCTCTTTAGGATGCGGTGAAAAAGTGATATGCCGCCTCATGGTTCTGGAACATCTGCAGGTCAACTCACTGCACCTGAAAAAGAGATTTCTCTTGAAAGGGAGAAAAATACCTCTCACTTAGACGAGGATACAGAACAAATATTTACTTTCCTCAGGGAGCTCGAGAATGGTTCAGAACAAGCTAGAGTAACAAACCAAAAACAAAATGAAATCTTTGAAGAAAAGCGCATAGCGAGTATAAAGGTGAGCATTACTTCCTACCAGCATCTTGCATCTAAATTCTGACAGATCAGCAAATTTTTCCTTTTTCTGTGTTTGGAGCCAAGGCACTTGCTTAATGGGATCGTACGTTGAACAGGCCCATAGCCAGACTTTCCGCAATAGACCCGACAAGATTTGCAATCAACAGGCTGTTACAGTCTGCAAAAAATGATGCGAAAAACGAGTGGAACCTGATTTTGTACGTGTTATTTTTGCCTCGTTCCTACTATCTGACAACCTGGCACAAGCTAAAAATAGCCGAGGCCGCCAGCCCCTTTGTGAGAAAAATCTGATAGGAAGCTCCAAGAAAAAATTGAAACTTAAACGCTATTTTTAGCATTTGTAAATATAATTCATTGGTAAATCAGCTTCTGAATACTCAAAAACCATTCAAAAAGATTCTCTGTCTATTTCAGCAGCGTCTGTGAATTACCCTGAACTGTCATCTTATGTAAGCGAGGAGACGAAGTCACTCCAGGAAGAAATTGCTTCTCTGAGAAAAGTCAAGCTAGAATCTGAAATGCATCAGGCAATGGAGATTAAAGGTTAGTAATATGCTTAAGTTCCTTCAATCACAAACTTGTAAGCCAGTACATATGTCTAATGATAGATAATCCGAACCTGGCCAGTTGTTCAAACGTTCAAGAATAGCACTATCCACCTAAAAATCACAATTCAGGGGATAAGTTTCAAGGAAACCAATTGTGTTATATACTGGATAGAGATTTGCAAAGAGTTATCTATTGGATGTTATTATTTACCTTTTGAACTGGATTAGAGCTTAATTTTGCATGGTAGTCTGTATGAAAAGGTAGCAACATTTCATCAAATCTGAGTTTCTTTTCTCTTTTTGTCTGCATGTATAAAGATATTTTTTTCTAGAATCAGTGAAAACTCACATTATCTGATAAATATCTTGTATTTTAATAGAGTGCAGAGAAGAGCTGGAAGGTCTAAAACAGGACCGGGTGATCTTGTTGAGTTACAGAGATGAGCTAGAAAAGAGAAAAGCCAATCTTCAAATTCTGTAAGATATACAGTTTAATTATCGTCTAATTGTAAAAAGGTCTTTGTGATTCCCCTTTGTAGAAATTCAATCTTTTATAAAGGTAATAATGAAAGGTTCTGTTTTGCTGACTTTGTGTCTAAGATAGTACACTGATCTTAATAAAGGCGCTTGATTTGAGCACAGGCACACCAAGGGGGTGTTAGACAACAAACTTTGAGAAACCTCAGAGGCACCCAACAAGAATATAGTTCAAATCCACTTAAACATAGCATTGTGAAACGTATTTTAGTATTTAAACGGTAAATATAAGCACATTTTTATCCCCTAAAAATTTTGCATCTGTTCGGATTTCCTAGATGAAAGTCTAGTGATCAGAAAAATTGTAAGGATCAAAACTTACCTTTTCGAAAATTTCAGTCACAAAAAAGGCTCCCGAAAATTCTAGGTCACCTTTTTAAGGTAAAAACCCGTTAAAAATGGGCAATTATACCATTCTTTAGATGTTCGAAATCCTAGGAGAGGCAGGCAAGCAAGAAATTTTACAACAAATGTTCCGAAAATTCTAGATCTCAAATCGTCTTCCGAACAGATATTTTCAGAAAATTAACGTTGGGTGCCCCTGAAACCTTTACTTTGACTTGTTTTACAGCCAAAATAACCAAGATAGCTAGGAATACCTCTAACGGATAGCACGGCAGTACAGGTTTATGTGAAAACACTATTTCATCAATAGTGCATTGTTTTATATAGCTGATATGTTTGTCTCGATATCACTTATTTATCCGCTTTATCTTTCCTTTACCTTTTTAGGGAAAAACAGGAGGATCTTGAACATTGTTGTGATATCCTCAGAAACGATCTCACACTCATCCTGACCATGCAAGGTATGATAACATTTCTCTTTCAAATTGCAAATAAAAGAAGTACTTATTGTATCGATTATCGACATAATCGTTCGTGAAATTCGGCAACTTCGCCAAAAATGCAGAATTTGATCCCAAAATGATGTTGTGTTATGTTATTTTCAGATTGGCGTCGAACAGAGCATCATACTATGCAAGAAGAAAAGCTCCTGAATATCCTCCATTGCCTTCAAGAGAAACAAAGAGAACTGACTTGCTGAGCTTGGTGAGCAGTCAGATCTACTAGCTTTTAAGGTGGTGGTGGTGGTGGTGGTGGTGGTGGGGTGGGGGGAGGGGGTTGGTATATCGGTAACCTCAGTCTGCGGGTCAGTACTTTTGTGTTGGCGTAATCTACGATGTTTAATTCCATTTACTGTAAACCTTTCTCCATAGAGTAGAAGACAACTCAAGAAAAAAAGCCGTTAATCATAAGACCTGTAGTCCAAACTATCGGAATCGTTAGATAGCTCTTCTCGACGTTCTTCCATTTTTTCCATTTTATAATGAACGCGTTCACAATCACTGCAAAGGATCCTCTAATACCTTTTTGGTCAATGGTTAACTATCTGATTTGTTTTTTCTTGATTTCAGATTCTGTTCTACCGTGGCTTAAAATGTAAATATGTATATAGTAAAATTTGTAAATAAAATAGAGATACATTTAAGCCATTACTTACAAGTTCTTATCGATAAAAGGAATTTTAAAGCCATTTCCGTTTCTTCTGTAAGAGAACACTAGATGTAAATTGTTTACAGTTAATATTTCTTTTCACGTCTTGCCTCGATCCTAGTAACACGTCCTTTAATAAGAGCAAATCGTTTAGTATTTCTTCAGTCAATTCCTTCTGATCCAGTTTTCAGTTTTTTTATGGTTCAAGTTGTAAATAAGCAAAAATGTAAACATGTAAATAGTGAAAAAATGAACCCATAGCAAGCATCATAGTAAATACTTTATAACTTCGTCTGCTTTTTTTTCCAATCAAAATGGAGAGTAACTTGTTGGAATTTTATATTGTAAAAATATATAGCTGTCGAAAAAAATCTTTATGTGATAATTACTTACCAAACTGAAAAACCAAACCAGGCACAAATTTACCAGGGACAGTGACCCAAGGGGCTGAAGGACATTTTCCAACTTAAGCTTTAGGGTTCACAGTCTACCCTCACAATTTTCCTCCGTCCCTGTTGAAGTTGTGATCAAGCAAAAAAAGAAGGCTTTTGTCTCAGCGTATTCCAAACAGCAATTGCACTTGGCTCGGTTTTTATTTTGTTATGCTGTTGCTGATTTTTTTCAGAAATGTGAATAAACCATTATATCATGACTTTAATGCCAAAATTCTCATTATGAATATCGTATGTCACATGGATGACGTACAATAACGTCATCCTTCATGTGGTCTAACTTGTTCATCCAATCAGATGCATTGATATTTGATCATTCATAAATGACAGTGGTGCATCCGTTCATGTCACTCGTTGGGGGTGACCATGTTCATTTGGACTTTTGCTGTGCAATTTCCTCGTCTCCAACGTCAAACTGTTACAAGCCTACATTTTTTCAATTTTTTTTGCAATCTAATAGGCCATTTTGCAATTCAGTTGCCCGCTTCGTAAAATTTTGTTGGCTTTTTTAAATTTATATGCATGCTTTTTGTAATTCAATAGGCTGTATTTTTGCAATTTAGGTGAACTCTCTTTGTAATTTATAGGCTAGGCTTTTGTCGTTTATTGTTTTTTCCTTTGTTAGTTTTATGCTATGTTCTATTCTCTCTTTTAAACCCTTTAACCCTTCTTCAACCCCTTCTTCAATATTGCTGTATAAATTGTTTGAATAAATTGTTTCTATTTTGTTGTTTTACACTCGAATCTGAAAAAGATCTCCAACATACTACCATATTTGCACAGCAAAGAGACAATTGAATGTAGTCGCACAAAGTTGTCACATGTCAACGCGTGCGTTACTGTTACTTATAAGTTACTCAATATCATTGCAAGGGGATGGAAGAAATCAAAGTCAGACATATGTTGATACACAGTTTAAATGACGTCATTCTATGTTATCGGCGCTTATGTGAATGAGTCATGACATCATACATCAAACTACAACGTGGTCAAGATGTGGAACTAAGAAAAAACAGTCAGAGTTCATTTTCTTTGATTCATGTGGACTAAAGTGTGTTTTATATCACACTTATTTGTTTATTGTTGTGCTTTCATTGCTGTTTGGAGTAGAGAAATGTTATTACGCAGATTACGAACTTGAGTTCTAATTGTTCCCAAAAAATAATTTGAAACTTGTCTTTTTCTCTGATCTCTGAAGATATGTTCACACGAAAGTAGTGCCAAACGGATCGTTTGTTAACAACAAAACAGATCCTAGAACTCTTTGGTCATTTTTTAGATTCTATTATCAGTTGTGGCCAACCTTGTCCCCAGAAATTTTCCTTTGCTTTGGGAGTCTGGGGACGAGTTCGAACTGTGCCGTGCACTAAAACAACAAGACAACCTCTTGTGGGCTTTTATTAGTCCAGCAGTAACCAGCCATTGGCATATCAGTTGTGTTTAAGAGGAACAGTTATTTTAAAGCACATCTGGTCTTATCTGGTATCGGACCGATCCGTTTGGCCGGTTCGTATGAATGAATTGCTTGCTCTTTG